AGATTACTAATTCCAAGTTACATTGTGGATGTGTACACATGCACATGTGGAGAATCAGTGCTTCCAGTAAAAATGAGAATGCATAGAGTTGGTGACGCTAACCAAAAATATGCCTTTATAAAAATTTGAAATCCAACCAAAAAGGAAAAGGAAGCAGACAGCATCTAACCAACTTTGATCTCAAATGCTAAGCAGGATCTGTCCTGGTTAAATGAATAATTCTAGGGCTATAATTAGCAGGTTTTAGGAGGAGGTAAATGTCACCAAAATGGTGGGCATGATTAGGCAATCAAAGCCACTCCCCCTTTTTAGCACGCACCACATAAACATTGCACACAAATAAAAAGAGGCAATATTTGTACTGCTCATACCCAACTTCCTGCTGTTATTGACACCCCTTCCCTAGGTGACCCTGCTTGACACATTGAAAAAAAAATTGCCAGAGGCATCCTTGGCAAACCACTTCCCAAAAGCTGTATGGATGAAGTCATGAGGAACTGGGCTCAACTCAAAGGCACCTACCAGTTTCTGAAAGGCACATTTATCTAGGAGGAGGCATGTATATGTCTAGTTCAGTGGGTAGATTACTTAACAGCTTCAGTTTATCTTCATAAGTTCACTTACAAAAAAAATTCTGAGAAAGAATAATAAACTCCTCTTTTTTATACCAAGGTCTCAAGCTATCTTCAATTTCCTGTCATTTTCCATTTGTTTGTGTCTAAGTTAATAGGAGGAAATGCAGAACATTTAATAGAAAATTTGGCTTCAAGGTGCTTAGATCAAATCCTTACCAGTATAGCCCTAGGTATTCAATGCCATCTGTATGCTGATGATGCCCAACTTCTCTTTCCCACTGAAATCCAAGGATGGCCTTCAATTCCAAATGGCCTTCTGATACTCTTAAAGCAGTGGTGGGATTCAATTTTTTTTACTGTCGGTTCTGAGGGCATGGCTTGATGGGTGTGGTGTGGCTTGGTGGGTGTGACTTGGTGGGCATCGCAGGGGAAGGATTTTGTAAAATCTTCATTCCCACCCCACTCCAGGGGAAGGATACTGTAAAATCTTCATTCCCACCCTACCCTACTAACCTGCTTTCCAGCTTCGTTCTCCTGTGCAGGGCAACAAAAGAAGACTCAGCTGATCAGCTGGGACTTGGAAGGCAGAGAGTAGATGGGGGTGGGGTCAGTCATAGATGGTATTTGCCAGTTCTCGGAACTACTCAAAATTTCTGCTTCCAGGTCTCTAGAAATGGTCAGAACCTGCTCAATACCACCTCTATCTTAAAGGCTGGATGAGAATAATTCTTCAGTCTGGATGCCCAGAATTAAATGCATCCATTTCTGTATATACTTCATTCTGTCATAACATGCAATTTGGAACATGCTATGATGTGTTTTTTTTAAAGTATTTGAAACGTTTTTTTAAAAAAGATCATAGACTCTCTGACTAGGCTGCTTTTGGCATTTGAGGCACCTTGTGGTTGAGGTGGGTGTTACTCTGAACAATGCTGCTGTTGATTTCTAATTGGATGTTGATGGATTGCCATTTTAATGATTAAATTACAATGTTATCATTTATTAAAGCCATAGTGGCGCAGTTAGAGTGCAGTAGAGTGGTTAGAGTGCAGTACTTCAGGCTACTACTTTTCTGGCTGCCGGCTGCCTGCAATTTGACAGATCGAATGTCATCAGGCTTAAGGTTGACTCAGCCTTCCATCCTTCCAAGGTGGGTAAAATGAGGACCCAGATTGTTGGGGGCAATATACTGATTCTGTAAAACTGATTAGAGAGGGCTGTAAAGTACTATGAAGCAGAATGTAAGTCTAAGTACTATTGCTATTCTTTATGTTATTCGCTAAGGTTTCTTCTACCTCAATCCTGGGGGCTCCAGTTTATCAGAATAACACTGATAATGGAATAACGGCTGAATACAATACTGAAATCTCTTCAGGTTTTATCATTAAGATCTCTATGTAAGCATACTATGTTTACTTTCTAAGGAAACTTCCTTAAATAAGCCACATACATACAACAATAAATAAATCAATTGGGCATGGAGGGGAAAGAAAAAAACATCAACAACTAGTTTAGGATAAAGCTAAGGAGCCTACAGTTAACCAATATTAATTTAGAACAAGATAATAACTGATTTGATTAACGTCTGCTAAGAACTGTGAAGATTCCAGGTCACCCAAAAAAGGCAATGGTTGGTTGACTTAATCAAGATCCTATGCTATTCTAGATATTCAAATTGTTTTTATGAGGTAACCTAATACCCTTTTTATGGTATTTTATTTTTATATATTTTATAAATTATACATATTGTATTTCAACAGTAAAATGTATAAGTACATCACAGTTTTGAGGTTGCTGTTGGTGTTAGATGAAAACCAGATTGAATATTATGTTAGATAGTGAATGTAATTACAGCATCTGATATCTATTAGGAAAATAGTATAAAGTTAACTGTAGCTTAGGTAACAGGAATAATTGAAAGATCTCTCTATATATACACAAACACACACAATATACATATATGTCACATATGGAGGTCAGGAAAAAACAGCAGGATTTTCTCCTGTCTCTTGAGATGTGCCTGTTCATATGCAAGCTCCAATATGTTTTCAATTTAATCTCAATTATGGGACTCCTTCCCATAATTCCTCTTATAGCAAACAAGGACCCAATGACAGGAAGGTGAAGGAGAAAGTTCTAAATATTTCTCTTCATATACTCCTCTCCTCATACAGATAATTTCCAAGGCTATAAAAACTCTGGATGATATAGATATGAAACTCTAAAGGTGAGTTGCTCACAAAGATATGCTTCCATTACTTTATGTATCCTGTTTTAGGTTTCTTGTTTTGCTTGTTGGTGTGAGAAATCTGCTTTTCAATGAAAAAACTCTAGTCTGATAGAGATTTACAAGGTACTATCCAACATTCTTCACAAACCTATGCAGGAAAGAGCAGGGTTCCAGAAACACTCATTTGTAAAAAAACCAAAAACCACCCCTTGCCATTAAAGTTGTACGTCTCTTTCCTCCAGTGTGAAATCTATAGAATTGTTAGAACATGTGCCTTTGAATGAGAAATGAAACAATCTGAAGGCTTCTGATATTAATCAGTTTGAGAGCTTTAAAGGCATCTTGTGCGCTTTGATTAACTACCCCTCCTCTCACAGGAAACATAAGAGCTTTGGGAATCAGTAATCTTAGGGCATTACACCTAATAGAATCAGCTTAAAAGTGATTACCAAGAAGGGCCTTTTGTGTGAAGCTTCAGAGACTCAATGGGGCCATACTCAAAAAGGTAATAAAGCCCTTCAAGATTTGATCAGAAATGAGAATTCTAGGCAGCTCTGAAAGTACCACTGACCTGATCAAGATATCAACTGTTTTTCACCATCTGTCTTGGGAATGTGTACTTGTTCTTTATAGGATTTCATTAGAAAAAAACAATCCAAGCAAAGCTGTGCACTAAAATTGGATGTTTTTGGTCAAGTAGGTTGATTTACTGAAATATTATTTAAACCAATTTGTGTAGAGGACATCTCAGAATTCCTATGGGCACTGAATTAAAACCTGGAAGTACCATGTATTCTCCCTGATCCAAAATGAAATGGATTTGGTGTAATTACAAGGAAGACTCAATCATAAACGAAGAACAAATCTTTTGCAACTTAAAGTGAAGAATAACATGAACACCAGCCGTGCTCAGAAGCCAAATGGGACGACAGTTTCTCAGTCTCTTTATTGCACTCTTCAGGGCAACGTGTTATCTTAAAGTACACAGAGCCATCGCCCTGTGTTTAATGCATCATCACACACACATACACACACACAAAATCATAAGTAAACAAATAAGTCAAGAAAATGTAAACAATTTGTTTGAGTATCCTTTTAGACTCTCATTTAAAAAGAATCAATTCATACATGAACAAGAAAAACCTATTAATAATTCACAACTGCAAATTAGGCATTTGATTTGTTTCTTTTTTTTCCATAAACTTAATCAATCCTCTCTTAATCCCATTTCCTCCTGTTCCTAAGAAGTTCTCATTATGCTAAATAAACTAAATAAAATAATGCCTTCAAACATTGCACAAGAATTTGCAGTTGTTCCTCCCTCTCCAAATCCACTCAAATTTCATTGGCAATTTGGTATGGAGACATCATGTGACTGATCCCGTATTCCCTAGTTAATTATGTGACCAGCAAAGTTGTTATGATGTACTTCTTGCAATGGAACTAAAAATGAATAAAATGTAGACAAAAAATTATACTGGGTTAAGCACCCCTGGATTATCTTGGCTTCCCCACAGTCTCCACCTTTATATCAAATTACTGCTTTGTGAATAGTTGGCACTATCTTAATCCTAAATCCGTTTCATCTTGGGCAATATATTTGTGAGGTAATCTGTAGAACACAAGGAGGTGATATAAAGATATGGTGTTTAAAATTTTCATTGTTAAGTGAATATAAAGGTTAGATTAAATTAATATCAACAATGTCAGTAATTACTAATCCAAGATCTCATGATAAGAAGATGGTTTCCAGACTCTTGGAAGAATTTAATGCATGCATTAAATTCAGAGGGAAGCAGAGGGAGCAGAACACGGAACAGATTTACACAGAAATGCTACCTGGTACCTTCAGAAGCCAATCAAAAGCATAATTATATTTTGATTCTAAAAGCTTTTGAGAATTTCTCAGAATCACAAGTCAGAGTAGAGAGGGGACAGCATTGATCAAAGTTCAAGAAAAAAAGAAATCAAATGCTATTATTTGTTTTCATGACTGCATGTAATAATGTAAGGATAACAAAAGGAAAGAGGGAAAAAAATCCTCACATATACCCACAGGAGGTGCTTGGTAAAATTATTAATTTTTTCATTGTATCTGGTGTCTTGCCATTAATCTAGTTGAATATGGTTAAAACAATGCTTGAATATAATGTTTAGCCATCAAGCTTTGGATTGATAATTTTTTAAAAGCTTACCCAATGCTGATCATAATCTGATCTACCTTCCTCTTCATCATATAAAGGTACACCTTCTCTCCTTGCCTGATGATACTCTTTCCGTAACTTCTGGATGCGATCAGCAGTTCCAATAGATGGACGATCACTGAAAAAAAGAAGGAACATATCAGTAATATTTTAGTATATTTACTTTCAGCTGGTTCATGTCTGAATTCATTCAACAAATGCAATTTTTCTCTTAGCTTCACTTCTTCATAAGCCACAATTAGGTAAATAAACACATACAGCATACTGGGCTAGCTGGGGTTTCTTTTTTTCTTTTTACAATTTTATTTCAGTTTGAAGACCATCACATATGACACATACAGTACATCAAGTGTTAATTAGAGTTCTTTTTAGGCTTCATTATACAGGTAGTCCTTGTCTAGTGATGGCCTCATTTAATGACTGTTTGCAGGCAGTTATGACAGTGATAACAAAGTAACTTTACGGCCAATTGACAACCTTCACAGGTCTGTAAAGCAAAGGACAGCTGAAGTAAGATAGTAAGCACATGGTTTCACACTTTGCTTAGTGACTGAGTTGCCAATTGAGGTTGTCAGATGAAGATCACCTATAAATTGTTAGACTAATCCTTACATCATTCAGGATATCTGGAAAATGGTAGAGTCCTATTTACTCTGAGTTCTTTCTCCTTAAAGAACTATTTTTCAACTGCACATTAAACTAGCTTCTTGATATATGTTAAGAACAATCATCAGAGAGAATAAGCGCCTCAGAGAGAAAGTCCATTCAGAGAGTGGTAAGAAAAACCAAAAAGATTATAGGAAGCTCGCTTCCTGTCATTCAGGATACTGCTTATAAGCACTATGTGCTTAGTGCTCAAAGCATTGTTAGAGACCCCACACACCCACTTCATGGTCTGTTTCTGTTGCTCCCCTCTGGGAAGAGATTTCGAAGTATTTCCAGCAGGATTACCAGATTCTGTAATAGCTTTGTTCCCTATGCCGTCCTTCTGGTAAACACACAAGATTCGTTTCTCTCGCCATGTACATGTATACATCCGAAGTAGACTGTGCTGTTTCTCCATGTCATATAATATATGTGAGTATATGCATAATTTTGTATGTTATTTATTTAGTCATGTTTATGTAGTGTATATTAGAGGTGGTGACCCTTTGAAAGCTGTATGCAAGGAAATTTCATTTTAATGTATGCCAATTAGTGTACATAAAAATGACATTAAAGTTATTCTAAGTCTAAGTCTGTCCACTGTGTCAGCGGGATTGGTAGAAATGATCTGATTATTAGATGTGACCTCATGTCTTTTCCTACAAGCCTTTGTCAGACTACTGTGTTTGCCCATCTGACTTCTCTTCCCTCCTTTATCAGTCACCTAACAAATCTTGCCAATACTTGCAGAAGGTTTGTTGAAAGGGCTATGGCATGGCATAATTGGTATCACCTCCGAATTAATGTTGAGCTTGAGCCATACACACAAACAAAAAGACAAAAAAAAAGTTAGCCGGCCAAGATTTACATTTCCTGTTTTCTGTAAATTTAAACTTAACTGTGGTGGCACGGTGGTTATATTGCAGTATTGCAGGCTGACTCTGCCTAATGTCAGGAGTTGGATCCTGACCAGTTCAAAGTTGACTCAGCCTCCCATCCTTCTGAGGTGGGTAAAATGAGAATCCAGATTATTGGGAGCAGTATGCTGCCATTGTAAACCACTTAGAGAGGGCTGTAAAACACTATGGAGTGGTACAAAAGTCTAAGTGCTATTGCTATTAAATTAATTCAATTCACAGTGATATTTTTGGATCCCATATTCCTTTTTTACATCTGTTCAAATGTAGGGATTATATGAGGAGGAAGAAACAATAATTTTGTGACGATTGAAGGAGGCCTTGTTAGACAGGACAAGTTCTATGCACATGGAATATAACAAAGTGCTCCCATGTGCATAGCAGATGTTAATGTTTTAAATAAAACAATGACTTATTTCATAGCACAATAGAGAGGATACCATTGAGCCTCCACATTTCCTGTATTCATCTAACTGTGATACATAGGGATGTGAAAGCATTTTGCTATAGACTCTGACAAGAGCAATTTCAATTTTTCACTCTTAACTAACTGATCCATGGGAGTGAGATGGGGAAACAAGCTTTCATCCTTCCTCAAGGAGTAAAAGAAACCCAAAAAATCTGATTTTTTTTGTAAAAATACAGATTGTGTCTTTGTTGAGCTTTTCACAGTGCAAATGTTGTAAGTCTCCTAGCAGTTTGGTTAGGAAATGGCTTCTTCTTTTGGTTGATTCTTGGAATAACCAAGTGACATTTTGCAAAATAAACAACCCCTACCCCAAAATAATCAAGTGGATTATATCTGGATATTTTATTAAAAATCCTGACAAAAATCTGCCAAAATGAAAATCTGCCATGCAGAACAGGCAGTAAAATCCTGAGTAATATATTTGGATGTGACACCTTACAAATGTGCACCAGTCATGTTTAATAATCTTTACTACAGTCATACATTTCCTTACATGGACATTCTTCCTGCCTGGAAATTTTGCAACCCTTGAAGCAAGCACATCTGATCATGATTTCACACTTCACACAATTTTTTATCAAGGCAGTTTCTGTTATTATGAATCAGTGTCTTCATTTTCAGACATCATGCTTGATGGAATAACAAGTTGCCCCTGCTGGCAATTTCTCAGGTGCATCAGAACTCCTTGAGAACTCTTCTGCAGAACAATTATGAGATTACATGGCCCACAGCCTTATAAACATAGGCCCATGTAAAACGGACTGTGTTGTATTTGATTGTATGGCCTGTTGGCAAACTAACCTCAACTTAATTGCAAGGCAAAACTATCAAGTTCCACAGTAAGATCTAATTTCTGAACAGAGCATAGCAAAAGAGAGCTAGATTTGTGTATTAAGACAATTCTTTGCACTATGCCTTCTGTTAAGTTGGGGAAAAGAGAGGCTGAACCAGAGCATGAGTGCAACAATACTTTATTATAACAATAAAGGGCTAACCGTGCTTGCCACGCCTGGAACTGGCTCGCAGCGATCAGCAACTGGTCGGACCCCGCAGCCTGCTTTTATAGCTGGCTGCTGGGGAGAACCAACCAATGGGTAAAGGGGAGAACGCCCCCGCAAAGTGAATGGACCTGAGTGAGAACTCCTAGAGTCCTCAGGACATAACACCTTCATTGCAAATCCCACACACACCAAAGACAAATAAAAACCAGACCACAGATTTTGAGGATTTTTGTTCAATCAGGGTTGACAACAATATAATTAAAAGGATTTTAGCCTAACTGTGGATAGAAAGAAAAACTGTAACAAAAAAAGCTAACTTCAAGTCCCAGGCAATGTAAAATGATTGTGATATCCAATCCTTTAGCAGTTCAGAATTTCAGTTTGCCTCCTGACAATTACATGAATATATGAACTACATTCCGAGTCACCAGATGAATTCAATCAGGGCCAGGCAAATATCGCATACATAATCTATTAGTTTACCTAAAGGAACTGAAGCATTGAATTCAAACAAAATGAAGTCATTAATAATAATAATGATAAAAAGAAATGTATAAGGCAATATTAAAAAAACCCACAATTTTCTCATATTTGTAAGAAAAAAAATCATTACCAATTGCAACCTATTCTCCCATCTGACTATATAAACATATATTTAGAACTTTGCGTTTGATCAGATAGCCATTCTAAGGTAGAATTATGAAGAAAGAAAACAGATTTTAGATGCATAGGAAGAATAAATGCTTGTCTTAGAAAAAGCAATCATAGGTTACAAAAGAGGGGCAAAAATTTATACCAACTTGAAAACTTGGCATAATACAATATAAGAATTACCATTGGAATGTATCTGTGAGACTTGTAATCACTATTAAATTTAGGAACTGTCTGAATGGGGGAGAATATAATTTTAGTTCACCCTGACACCATCTACATCTGTGAACTACACTTAATACTTGGAAATTGTGAGGTAGAACTAGAGAGGAAATTTGGTCGATAAGCTAACTCTACCTTATTATAAGGTTATATTAATAGAATCTTGCATGTCTGAAAGTACATTAAAGGAGAATATGTGCAACTCAGGTTTGAAATGAGGGGTCCTTAGTGCTCTCTGAACATGATTGTTTTCTTCTAGATGTTTCATTACCGAAACTAGGCAATATATTAGTGTTTGGGTAATGAAACATATGCAAGAAAATAACCAAGCTCAGAGAGCATCAAGGATTCCTTAAAGTACATTTCTCCCCTCTCATTCCTGTTGCCTTTACAGTCTAAGAAACTAGGAAGGCTCCTTCTGAGTCACTTGCTCTGCCTACCTTCTGCTGCAAGATGCTTTTTATCTGACTGTTCCCTTGGCTGCATCTCTTCACCCTGCCTTTCAATGTCATTTCCAAATCAAAAAGAGGGGAACAGACCATAGTCAACCCTCAGTCAAATTTAGGCCAGAATCAGTATCCATCCACCCATATAGACACCACATTGGTGTCACCAATAGACTGAATATATGAAGGCAAAGAGGAAACAAGTATATATGTACCAGTTCTGGCTTTTGGGTACTAGTTGAGTAAGGGTGGGCTAGCTTCAGCTTCCAGTATAATGCTCTTTATTAGAAACAAAGTTTGTTGACTTTGAAGCAGGTTATATAGCCTTTAGTTACTAATGAATAACTAAATTATAAAATGCTGTGATATTCATAACTTGTAATATGAAAGATAATAAAAACCATGTGACCACATTAATAAAACCAAATTAAAAGCTCATACTATTGTACTAGTGGCATGCAAAACACAGAAGTCTATTTCCCAAAGCGTGAAAGAAAGGCAAGTCTTAACAGCTTTCTATAAAATAACTAAAATGGGGCCATTTGAATCACCCCCTTGTTCCATTAGGTCAGAATAGTAATTGGAAACTGTTTCAGGCACCACCACCTTCTCTTTCTGTACTAGTGATAGGCTGGACAGGGTCAACTTGGAAGAGATAGTCCTGTAGATATCCTATTTCCATACCCTGTAAGCTAAACAGGCTAGTGCCAGTTTGCCAATATGGCTAATGCCATATTGTATTCAGAAACTCACTGGAAGCCACTGCA